TCTCCTGCTGGAGCAGGGGGAGTGCCCTCTTGAGGACCAGACACAGGATTTCTTGGACCTCACACTCAATTCCCGGATGTCTGCCTGATGACATTTTATTACGTAGGAAGGCTAAATTATCCGGGGAAGGTCCTTGAGGGAGCCTAGCTGCTTTGTGGAGTTGGTGCTTGTGAACAATGATTCACCACTCACCGTCTTCAATGCCAACGAGGAACTCACCAGCCCCACTCTCAAACCAGAGCCTAGCCAGCCTTCACCCAGTGAAACGGAGCTAATGCCTGGAGCGGGAGCCTGCCGTGACCAAAGCACTGGAGTACGTAGCGCAGATTATTGCCCCGGAGCTCAAACCCAAGAATGAGTCTGACCAGGTGTGTGAGCCAGCTACAACACTTGTCCCAGTGAGGATTCTCGTGGAGTACGAGGGCAAGGAGGAAGGCCCCGCCCACATCCCCGCCGCCGAGGGTGAGCTGCAGCTGGCATCTATTGATTTTCCTTTGCTTTTTGACCCTTTATTTTCCTCATCTCCACCCAGCCTTATCGATCTGGTTCTCCCAGTCATGCATCTATTGAATTTTCGCTGGTTCCATCCAGACCTAAATCCTATGTGTCTCCGCTGGTTTCGTCCAGCCCTGACCTTTCTGAATCTCTCATGCATACACCCATCCTACCTATCCCACCTTCGCCTTCTGGTTCTGTCTCTCTCTCAACCCCTAGTCTCTTACCTGTCTATCTGTCTCTTCACTCTCTGCCAGCTGCAGCTTATGTCACTCCAGTCCAGCCTCAAGAACCATCACCTCTACTTTGGCCTGTTATTCTGCTAGCCCTGCTGGACTTCCTAACCTCTTCAGTTCAGCCTGAGTCCTGCACCTGCCTGCCACCACATCTCACTCCGTTCAAGCACTCTTCCCCAGCTCCACTGCTGTCCGTCACCACCTATGCACAACCCTCAGCCAGTTCTCACCTATGTGGGACTGCATCGGGGCTTCCTACCATCAGCTCTGACTTGGCGTGAGGTTCCCCTGTCTCTGCCTCCAGCCACAGGATCCTGCACTCCACCTTGGTCCTTCGACCCTCAGACTCTGCCTAGGCTCCTAGCTCCATCGTCTCCACCGTGGCCCGTCATCCCATCTTCTCCACTGGGGTCCCTCATCCCTCCGGCTCCACCTTGGTCAGTCGACGACCATCTGCCGCCTCGGGACTCCACTCCTCCGACTTCGCCTCATCACTTTGTCCCTCTGGCTCTGTCAGACTCCTTCTTCCCACAGGCTCCACTTTCGTCCTCTGGCTCCACCATGGTCTTCCAGATCCCTGCCTCCACCTCGGTCGCCGGAATCTGCTGCTTCGCCTTGGCCCTCCAGATCCTCACGGTCGCCTAGGCTCTGCGACTGCTTGGCTCTGTTTGGGTCACCATCCATGTCGCAGGAGCTCACACCCCTGGATACTCTGCCAAGGTTTCCTCCATGGCTCCTCCCTCCTGCGACTCCGCCGTGGGCCTTCGTCTTGCCTAGGCTCTGGTGGTTCACCAGCTGTCTCCTCCGGCTCTGGCCCGCCATCCATCTCAACACACTGCTGGCTCCTCGCTTCCCTGGTCCTGCCTGCTCCATCCTCCATCCCTTTGCCGTCTCCTATTTTTTTCTGCCCGATCTTATCTTCCCTGTTGTCTCCAGTCACTAGGCACCATCCCTTCAACTCTTTGTCGGCACGAACACATTCACACCTAAATCGCATTCTTTCAGTACACTGTAAAAAAATTATTATAACAAACATGTAATTTTCTGCCAGCAGATAGGCTCCGCCCACAACAAACGAATGGTGGGTGCTGAGTTTCTCACAGTACGCAGCGAGGTTTCTTCTCATCTGTCGTCTCTTGTCATTGCTGCACAGATAATACACAACACAACGCTGACGAGGTGCACACACTACAAAACATTCGGTGAGGAGGCGTTCCCAACCATCAGACAAAATACGTTTTCTCTCAAATTCTCGTGAGAATTTACAGCGATTATAGGCCATTTCTTGATGCATCAAATAAACAGTCATGCTCTTGCCAAAGCATTGTCTAAGACATTGTACGTTTAATTTGATCGCCTTTTCTCCGTTTATACCATCTGTACTGTGATTGGCTGGATTAGCTCCACCTTGTCATTGTGGCGCTCACATTACGAGATCGCGTGGTGATAATATTAAACAGGTTTAAAACATGGCAGCGTCTGTGATAGCTCGAGACCGGTTCGGATCACGTTGCTGACCTGCTCATACTTAACGAGCTTCGGCGACCGCAACGAGCACCGATTTGGTCACGATCCGGGGGTTTTGTCGCAGACTGTGGAAATCTGTCCGCGACAGCAAAATCCAGCCAAAAATCCTGTAGTGTGAGCCTGGCTTATCTGTCACTACATTCCGCCAGCTGCAGCTTATGCCACTCCTGTTTAGCCTCAAGAACCATCACCTCTACTTTGGCCTGTTATTCTGCTAGCCCTGCTGGACTTCCTAACCTCTTCAGTTCAGCCTGAGTCCTGCACCTGCCTGCCACCACATCTCACTCCGTTCAAGCACTCTTCCCCAGCTCCACTGCTGTCCGTCACCACCTATGCACAACCCTCAGCCAGTTCTCACCTATGTGGGACTGCATCGGGGCTTCCTACCATCAGCTCTGACTTGGCGTGAGGTTCCCCTGTCTCTGCCTCCAGCCACAGGATCCTCCACTCCACCTTGGTCCTTCGACCCTCAGACTCTGCCTAGGCTCCTAGCTCCATCGTCTCCACCGTGGCCCGTCATCCCATCTTCTCCACTGGGGTCCCTCATCCTTCCGGCTCCACCTTGGTCAGTCAACGACCATCCGCCGCCTCGGGACTCCACTCCTCCGACTTCGCCTCATCACTTTGTCCCTCTGGCTCTGTCAGACTCCTTCTTCCCACAGGCTCCACTTTCGTCCTCTGGCTCCACCATGGTCTTCCAGATCCCTGCCTCCACCTCGGTCGCCGGAATCTGCTGCTTCGCCTTGGCCCTCCAGATCCTCACGGTCGCCTAGGCTCTGCGACTGCTTGGCTCTGTTTGGGTCACCATCCATGCCGGCATCGTCGCAGGAGCTCACACCCCTGGATACTCTGCCAAGGTTTCCTCCATGGCTCCTCCCTCCTGCGACTCCGCCGTGGGCCTTCGTCTTGCCTAGGCTCTGGTGGTTCACCAGCTGTCTCCTCCGGCTCTGGCCCGCCATCCATCTCAACACACTGCTGGCTCCTCGCTTCCCTGGTCCTGCCTGCTCCATCCTCCATCCCTTTGCCGTCTCCTATCTTTTTCTGCCCGATCTTATCTTCCCTGTTGTCTCCAGTCACTAGTCACCATCCCTTCAACTCTTTGTCGGCACGAACACGCGCTTTCCCGGAAGGGGGCGATATGTCACGGTTTTGTTATGTCTGTATCTTCTGTGACCTAGTTTTCTCCTCATTTGATTCACCTGCCCTTCATCAGTTAAGTCATTACCTTCTGTGTCTTTATATTACCCTCTTGTCTCTGTTGGTTGTTCAGTCTCGTCAGTTTGTGGATCCTTGAATGTGTAGTGTTCCCCTGACATTTGGATTATTAGAAGATATTGAACTCTTCTTCATCGTCTTGCCTGCCTGTGGATTAATAAACACGCCAATCCGTGACAGGGTATGAGTCATTTTCAGGGACCAGAATATCATAGAGAAATAGATGTGTGCTGTTTTGACTAGGACCATTAAGAAACCATCCATATGCAGAAATATGTTCTGTGTGTTAATAGTCTTTTTATTTTCTCACAGATAAAATTGTTGGCACCACATGATAAAGCTATTTCTTGAATTAATCTATGAATCTATGAATTTATGTCCTAACCATCCAATCAAAACCATGACAACTGACAAACAACAGGAGATTTTGTCAATCATTTGAGCTGTGTCCTAAATTGCATTCTTTCAGTACACTGTAAAAAAATTATTATAACAAACATGTAAGTAAAACAAAGATTATCAGAGTACGTTTTACAAGAAAATACTATTTGAGTTTTTCTGCTTCAAAAATGTTTAATTTAATGTGCTATATGTAATTTCTTTGTAATTAGAAAATTATTTACTAACAAAAAACAAAAAAAATTACTACGAGTGAAAATTGTTTTACCACCAAATTGTTTTTTTCAGTCTAGGTCCAACATTTGGTTTGAAACTTACTTCGCGAATGTTCAAAATGTATGTTCTATAAAGTATGAATAAGGGTAGCACGACAGAAATTCAGATGTATTACATCCGCCATGTTATCACTGTCACATGACCTATAGTAAATTGTCCATTAAAAGTACAGTAGGCAATTTCGGAGAGGCTAGCAATGCCAAGCTAGATTTGAAAGCATAAGATCCCACCCTCCCTGCAAATCACTCTCCAAAGCCATGCCTCCTCCAAAACACATGAAGGCCCTCCCTGCAAATCACTCTCCAAAGCCATGCCTCCTCCAAAACAGATGAAGCCGCACAGACAGACCAGAGGCAAACCAGCGACACAATGAGAGGCGGCGTTGGGGGAGGGTTGAATGCAACGCTGTCAGATTACCTCATGTCTCATTCAACGGCGAGAAAACTTTACAGTACAAAGCGCATAATATTACAATAATAACACCTTCCATTCTCGCTCCATCTGCAATAGCATAATGGAATGAGCTGATGGCGTATCATGTCTGCGCAAGCAGATGTGCAAATACATACATTGACAGGCAGGTAGGACAGCCTATCGTAGCCCTCTGACCAAGAGATATGATTGGACAAACATTTTATTGTCGGACACCTTCCTCAGATGATATAAATACATATAAACACATTTAGACCACTTAACTTAGTGACTGCTATCGGAATGTAAAGAGACTTTTAACCAACATAACAAAAAATGTTTTTAAACCAAATCACCTATACTGCCTTTAGAATCTCACCTGACGTAGTAGGTCACTTGAATCCTTTTTACTTACTGTTTAATGACTACTATTTGAATATACTTGCATACTGTTTTTTACATTTTATATAGTACGGAAGAAGCCATATTCGGACACAACATTGGTTTCTATTTCTGGAGTCTTGAACTTGGTAGCCACGTTCACTGAAATCTCATTGGGCCAAAATCTTTTTCCTCAAAGCTGTACAATGAATATCATAAATCTTGTGACTGGCTGTGACTGTGTCATGTTACGCCACATTACTGCTTTCATTGTTTACAAATTGCTTGTCGTGGGAATCTTATCGCATTGCGCCTGATTAGGTTATGATGAAACAGATTAACAATCCCACAATTATGATTTGTTTACATTTCCCACACTTTCAAAGGAAGTTGGTGCCAACATCTGGCCAAGGAATGATGAATAAATATTTCTCATTCCAAGTTCCATTATCAAAATGATTGCATTCCTTATATGAGGTCAGCTAAAAATAAAGCCTGTTATTTCTGAGGAACAGTTCCCAAAACCATAAAAGAAAAAAGGCAAACACATTTAAGGTAATGTCACAGTTAAATAAACTCTGCCAAAAATAAATAGATTAACCTATGTCTCTATAAAATATATCTATCCATATATACAATATCCATCTCTGTAACTGTCCCAAGAACAGCTTGTGTCCAGACAGACTGTAGATCAAACACACAGAAACTCTCCCCTCTTAGAGGCCAGCAAGAGGAAAGAATGAAAGATACCGAGAGAAAGTCTTGACTGATAAAAAGTGAAGGATTTAATTCATTAAAATGACAGAATATGAGAAAAAAGCAAGCAGCCTCATTAGAGTGTGAGATTGAAGTAGGACAGTATACAGCTTTGATGCAATTGAAGCAGCAAGAGTTGTGTAAACAGAAAGGCCGATCTTCTGAATGCCCACACATTCATATCTGTGAAGCGACCATTAAGTCACAATAGATTTGCCCTCTGCTTTCGTGCTTCTGCCACAGAACATTAACTAGTACAATCATCTTTGCTGTTTTTGTGAGCACATGTTTTTCTCATATCAGAGAGACACAACACAGTTCAGGGGATACAAAATGATACGTAAACCTCAAGATTTTGCCCTGTGTTTGATCGCTCTAAAACTCAATTTCTGAGTCTTGCTTGTCACACTGCACTGTTGATGGGCAGCCTCTAGCCAGTGATGTGGAAATGATCTCCTGCACACTAGAGACTTAGAGGTGAAAGTATTCAGAGAAGTTTGCCAAATTTTTTTTTTTTTTGATGAACCAGTATTCCCACTGTCTTGGTAAACCTGGATATAGGTAATTTACTAGTATGATTAGACCTGAAGTCAGAAAAGTTGTGTAAATTAATCAAATACAAAAGATTCCGCTCTTAAAACTGAGATTTATATTTACTGTAAGTGTCCTCACACTGTATAGTTTATTTTTTGCAGATCAATACTTTTTTTTGTCCCCATATAGAACTGTCCTACCATGTCTCCATGGTGTATGTCTTAATACATTAGATAAAATCCTAAACTCTCACTGTGTAAGAATAAAAATCATATAAAATAACTTTTGTTAACTTTCTTCTCACTTTTATTAAGTGAGCATAGCAATAAATTTGAAATAATTTTACTACTTTGGTTTGGATGATGATTACATTAGAGTCTATTAAGACTATTAAATGATTACCAACCAAAGTATTCTTTGTATTCAAAACATGCTTTGTTTTGAGTATTTTTTCATGAATTACATTAGATTAGAAATATAAACTGAGTAGAAAATTACAGCATCCAATAGACATACAGTAATTATGATGTGAAAGCAACTGTGCAAACAAATATTATAATAGTGAAATAAATATTCACCCTGCCTACTGTCCAAATGCATGTCATAGATCTTACTGTGAATGATTCATCCATGCATGTTTATTTTTTTTAATTTATTACATTTTTTTCAAAATGCCAGTGAAAATGACAGAACTCTCCAATCAATGAATCAGTTTAAACTCCACCCATTCAATCTTGCATTCATCTGCCTCTATTGTTAAGTGCAACACCCACATCTCAACATCCAATCAACAGCCGAAGCATTAAACCAAGTCCCCATTCTACATTTTTCACCATGATTTCAAGTGTCTGAGTCTAGAACACACTTTCATGTAAATTCTACTCAGATTTAAAGAACTGGTCATGTTTTCTTTAGCTTCCATCAAGATCATTAACTGTAATCAAAAGCAACTAAATCCATCAGCTGTTTGAGCTGTAAGGGTAATAAACAAAGAGTTTTGATTTACTTGAACTCATAAGTGAACATGCATTTTACCTCTATGATAGAACTGAAGCTTCCATCTATGTTTCCCCCCTAAAATTGTCAATATGAGTAAACAGAGCTAGGTTTTGTAGGGATAGTTCAGACAGTAATGGTATTGGAGAGACGTGCCGTCCAGCACAGGCACAGTGAATTCTGGGCACGCAACCCACTGGGGCTCTTGTGCGGCACACAAATGGATGAACTGGCAAGACATTCTGTCAGGGCCATTTTTTCAAAGAGCTGTCAAAGCCCATTGATGTGATGCCTCTGAAACAGTAGGTCGAGCAATGTCTCACCTCAGCCTTCTGTGCAGGTAAGGAGCGTATGTCTGTCTGCTGTTCAAGAGTAAACAATATGCCTGCTTTCAACAATATTACCGGTTATGTTATTCTTGGTGCTTCTCCAATTTCATATCACATCCGTTCTCATTCTGATCACTTATTTTACTTAGAAGGAGATTATGGTTTTTGGTGCCAATGGCTACTAATGGCCATTGTATTAAATTATGCCGAGAAGTGATTTAACGTGGGAGAATGGTATAGTGCTTTAATGCCCTGAGAAATATAAACCGTCAAATTTAGTTAATTTCTTCGTGGGCATAACCTGTAATCTCATATTTCTCACGTGATCACAAGGGCTTCATATTACACGGCAGTGTTTCCTGCAGCAGAAGCGAAAACGAAACAACCTGTGTAGTCTGACAAACAAACGATTCCTATGAATCAGTTTCTTTAAAGATTTAGGAATAAACCATTTCAATCATTTTGATTCACTTACTGAATTTATTGACTGTTAACTTCTTATATGGTAATGTAATAAAATTGATATAGACCTACCCAGCGTAATAATATGACAGGGAAAATATGAAAACAAGAAGCAAAAGAGAACAAATGTGTTCTTTGCCATATGTTAATATCCCATTGAATGTCTGAGGTGAAATAGCTGTACATATACATATTTTTTGAAAATGTATGATTTCTAAAACAGTTCTAAAGTAAACACAGTTCAACAACAAATGCAAACACAAGCTTCCAAAAGAAAGAATATTTGCATTTTCTGCCTGTATATTCATTGTTCAGTGCTAT